AGAAAAAGAGGAAGTGCACAATTGTGAATTTTCATTTCAGCAGTATAAAATACATAACAGAAAACAAAAATGTACTTGTAACAAACTACTACTTCCATAATAAATGAAACTTATCAAGAGGTTAGCCCAAACACTCATGTTGGTGATATAATATGCTCATATAACTTGGTTACTTGTTATGTGTTGATGTCTCAAACCGTCAGTGACTCATCCAATCCATTGTCTTCTAGGTCTTCTTCCCCCACTTGGTATTTAAATCTTCATGTTGTTCGCTCTCACTGCTGTCATAGCTGGATTCATTCTCACAAGGTTAGTTAGTTGCGTGTCCTTTGTAGGACGTTGCAGAACCAACCCCAGCATTTTTTGGCTGTTGTGTAGTTTGTCTAGGATAATTTTACGTTCAGTAGTTTTCCATTGCGTTCTGGACGGTCAACGCCCAGTACCACTGTCAAAACCAATGCAAGACAAATCACCCGCAGCTGGGATTGAACCCAGCACCCCGACATTACGAAGCGCGTTCGCAACCCCTAAGCCACAGATGCTGACATAAGGTACTCAAACCATTTCAGTCTTTGTTTATCAATAAATTTAAAGACGGGTATTATTCCAATAGTTCTTCCTGTCTATTTCTTATAAAATCTCTTCTGGTTTTGTTTGCAGTTTTTCTTGAACATCTTATTTCATAGGTGGATAAGTTTCTCTCATATTCTTGGGTTACTGTCAAAGTCTGACACTGGTGACCTGAACTCTTTTTTCATTATTAAAGGACCTTATTTACTTATATGCATCTCATTCGTCAAACAGATTATCTCTTAATCATTGTTAAAAGACTTTATTTACTTATATGCATCTCATTCGTCAAACAGACTATCTCACAATCATTGTTAAAAGACTTTATTTACTTATATGCATCTCATTCGTCAAACAGACTATCTCTCAATCATTGTTAAAAGACTTTATTTACTTATATGCATCTCATTCGTCAAACAGACTATCTCTCAATCATTGTTAAAAGACTTTATTTACTTATATGCATCTCATTCGTCAAACAGACTATCTCTCAATCATTGTTAAAAGACTTTATTTACTTATATGCATCTCATTCGTCAAACAGACTATCTCTCAATCATTGTTAAAAGACCTTATTTACTTATATGCATCTCATTCGTTACACAGGCTACCTCTCAATAATTTTTAATACACCCGCATATGTATACTCAGTGATTCAATGAGTATGATCCGGAGGGTTCAGGCAGGTTCAGTGCGAAGACAATGGCTTGAATCAATTCAGAAGTCCACTGTGCGAGGAGTCACCTTTATTTTTGTTCCGGGACACGCAGGCGTTGATGGAAATGAAAGAGCTGACAGGTTGGCTGGATCCGCTATCACTACTGACGGTCGGCCTATGGATCATGCTGATATTATCAATGCCCTCAGAGAAATGGGAAGGATAGAGGACTTTGGTGGCAGTGAATCCACATCACTCGCCAGAATGGCAGACTTGGGAATTAAGATCGGCACAGCAAAAAACGAGACGCACACCGGACACGTCAGAAGACTTGTTAATCAACATAGAACTGGTACTATTAGCCATCGGACGTTGGGATTCATACTGAGGGGAGGATCTGAGCACCTATGGACATGTCCGGAGTGCAATGATGATAACCTAACTAACTAACTAACTAACTAACTAACTCAATAATTTTTTTTTAAAAGTAGTAAAGATCCCTTATTACGCCTAAGGTGCATCAGGTATATGGGCAGAGCGTCCCATATTTTTACAGACTAATCGGCAATGGATGGGTAATGTCAGTATTACGCCGGCTGTCTTTACTTCCCCAGGACAGCCATCCTGGTACCCATTTTAGGCTCGGTCGACCTGCGACGCCCCATACTACGATAAAAATCTACGCAGCCCGCAGTGGGTTTTGATCCCAGTACGTTGGATTACGAGTCGGACTCGCAACGCCGAAGCCGCGGACGACGCCTCTCAATAATTAAGAAAGAAAATTCGATCTTTTGAGCTGAAATGGTATTGAAAGATTCTTAGAATTTCTTGGACAAATAGGATAAGAAATACTGACACCCGAAAAAATCTGAACATCAAGGACAATTGGCTCATAAACAGCGTCTTGTCTCAGACTGAAATACTTTGACTATATCAAGTGCAAAGAACAGTAGTGGAAGCATGGTACTGGATTAGAGCGGTAAGGGTCAAACAGCATGAGGATAGGCAGAGGACGTAAGAGACAACTTGGGCGAGGGACCAGGTTCCTTTCAGGTGTGTTGAGCAACATCTGAGTATGTGCTTGCTGAAACAACACGTCTAATGCCCATGAATTTATTAACATACATGACACAGATTTCAAGAGTACATTCATATGAATCAAAACAATATATTCAGCAATTCAAGAATAATCTTGGTTAACATGTTTAAAGAAAAATATTTTTATAAACGGTAATAAAAAGGTAAACAAATTATTAAAGATTATTTTTTTGGGTCAATATTTCTTGTGTAATACTAACAAATAAGACCATGTCTGGATTATATTGGCAGACAGAGAATGAAATGGTTCGGCAATCTAGTGAGAATGCAGCCAGACCAAACTGCATATGAGACTTTTTACAGCAGAACATCTGGGAGGAAGGCAAGAGGAAGACCAAGAAAATAAGGATAAATATTGTGGCTGAAACCTGCAAAAAACTATAAACAAATCTATCAACAAAGCCACCCGAGAAGCGCAAGACAAATACAAAAAACCAAGACACTGGGCTACAACTTAAAATCAGTGAGACGACAAAAGAAGTAGATATGTAAATTATATGTGGCAAAATGCACTAAACACTTCTGTGTATGATAATAGAAAATTACACTACAGCTGTCTTGTCAGTCTGCGAAGCCAAGGGTCCGTAAAATCATTTTACAAAGAGAGGCCCGATGGCTGTGGAAACCCTGAGCAAATAATTTGTCAATTTGATTAACAAAGAACATTCAGCTTTATAGTGCAATCCCTTTTGCAATAATAATATTTACAAATTATAATAAGTTATTCAGTACAATAATTAAACAGTCAAGGCCCTCTGGGAACAAGTAATGAAGTCAGAAGAGAAACCAGATTATTATGGCCTTGAGAGAATAATGCACCTGGGTGTAACCAGAGGGTCTGGCTGGCTCACTACACTCAGAGGAAAGGCAAGATGGACATATAACCAAATTATGACTGGTACCATAAGTATTGGAACTCTGCGCTGGATGCTGAAGAGAGGGTTGGAGCATTATGTGAATTCCCCGAGGGCTGTGATGTCAATTCTTGACTTAACTCAGCTCAGTTATGAAACTAGTGTGGTATTGACAGACCTTGGAAGAGAGGAGGGGGTCAGCAGGTCATAGCTAATTGGGTACCACTGTACTACAGAACAAGTAAAAAGCAAAGGATCCTTTACCACACCTTCAGGGGTATTTAGCATGTAGGGCTAGTCCTATATTTGATAGACCAATCAGCACTTGGTGGTTGATGTGGTCAACATCACGTTGACTGTCTTTACTTGGTACCCATTTAAGGCTGGGTCGACTTGGGAGTCAATGTCATTTAAAAAAAAAGGATGGCTCTGTCAGGATTTGAACCCACAACCTTTGAAACTGCAGGCAGGCATCTAGCTGCTACATCACTGCAGCTCTAATTGCACTACAGTACAGACCTATTAAACATCAGTAGTGGTGAAGCAGGGGCTGACCAACAAGAAGATGGACATACGATTAAGTGACTCCTTGAATATGAAAGTACATAAGGTGAAGCGAGAGACTGAGTTTCTTTCAGACAGACCGTGATGAAAGCGACGTTCTGCAAAGAACCTGCTACATGATGATGAGTGATGCCAGTATATTATACAGCAGTATCAATCTTCTTCTTCTTTTTAGCGTTCACTGGCTGTAAATTCTGGCAGTTTGTCAACTTCTGAAGTTTGGCCCTGTTTCAGAACTTCAAGTTTTGCACACACATCCATTTCACGGATCCAGCTTACATTTTTGCAAACTGTTGGTTCCTTGCCTCTTATGCAGATGCACTCTTACTTCGAAAGAAGCTTCTTAATTAGTCACCTGTATGACATGCTTGTTAGGGAGATCATGGGGGTGGGGGGGGGGGGGGGTGCAGAACCCATAGAGGAAAGCAGTTTCAGTATATTACTTAACAGTGCACAGACACTCTCAGTACAAGCTGCCATCCTGTTGTACTGTCACCACACAAATAATCACGAGAGAAGCTGGTTACTGCACATCAAATGCTACAGCCTAGAATGTGTGAAGGTTCAACCACACACCCCAAACGTCAGACCTACTATGGGATTATTTTCCCAGCTTTTCATTATCAGTCAGCAGGTCCTCTGCAAAATGTGGCTCTCTTTCTCTAATCAATGCTCCAACCCTGTGTGCTTTCATAGTCAATGCATCTAAAATGTCCTGTATCCACCTCTTTCTAGAAACTGCACCCTCCATCACCGTTCTCTCTCCAGGCCACCATGACACTCAATACTCCAGCGTTTAGGACAGGATGCTGTTTATGAGCCAGTTCTCCTTGATATTCAGATCATGTAGGATGTCAGTCAATGTTTTTCTTCATCAAAAAGTTGTAAACAAAAGAATACTTAGAATAGGAGTCTTGATGGAAAACAATTATTTACTTGGTTTTTCAGTAGCACCCTTTTTTTTTTTGGTCACCGTACTGAACGGGGAAGAAAAGACATAACAAGTGGGAATAATGTACGCTGTTTACATATTGCTGAGAAAACATGAGGTATCCACTACTGTTCAATATCTGTATAAGTAAAGGGTTAAACTTGTATACACTGTGATAACAGGAATATTGGAGGGGAGGAAAACAAACAAAGGATGTCATAAATTCTTGACAGTTCATTAGATAGAAGTCTATGGGCAAAAACAATGATTACCAATGAGCCATGACATGATTAAAACAATAGGTCAAACGTTTGTTTTAATTATATTAGACTGTAGTATCCACTACCCTCCTGCTTCCATCTTTTTCAAGCTTAACAAAACCAGGCTCTCCCTGGCGATTGCTCAGAGTTCTCTTGGCTGGACTGGGAACCACTTGAACATCCCCAGGCTTAGGAGCATCATCTGTTGGTGACCTCATCACATCTTCAACTGATTCATAACCATTTTCTGGTTTAGCCAGATTTCTGTGAAAGCCGCTCTCATCTTCAGATTTGTTTTGAAGCACATTCTGGGCATCTGTGGCTCTTTCACTGTATTCAGGCGGTGCTCCATATGTTGGATTATCTCTACCAGGAACAGGGAGCTTAGGTCTGTGTGAAAAACAAAAGTAGCTGTTAGTTAATCATGTGGATCCACAACAGCCCCAATAAGAAAACATCTTACTTCCAGGCATGACACTGGATTCTGTTTGCAATGAAACAGAACCAACCCAACCCTTTTCTTCAGGCCATGCACTAATGTTGGGAAATGAACAGGGAGACACTGGCTGGTTCTGCCCCAGTGGGTTGTGAATTTATGCATGACAAGATAGATGTGGTCAAGGTCCTTTGGGAGCAGATGAAAAATGAGGAGGCCTGAACAGATCATTATGGTCTGGAGACAATGGTACAGCTAGGCGTGACCAGGGGATCTGGTCGAAACTCCACGAAACTCAGAAGAATGGTAAGATGGGCATATAATCAAACTGCTGCTGGCACCATGAGCATTGGAACTCTTTGCTGGCTGCTGAAGATGAGGATGGAGTGCTTCTGGGAATGTCTCAAGTGCTGTGATGTCAGTTCTTAATACTCTAGGGGAATAACAATGCTCTTAGGCAATAACAATACTCTTGGGCAATAACAATGCTCTTAGGCAATAACAATACTCTTGGGCAATAACAATACTCTTGGGCAATAATAATGCTCTTGGGCAATAACAATACTCTCGGGCAATAACATTGCTCTCAGGCAATAACAATGCTCTCAGGCAATAACAATGCTCTCAGGCAATAACAATACTCTAGGGCAATAACAATGCTCTTGGGCAATAACAATACTCTAGGGCAATAACAATACTCTAGGACAATAACAATACTCTAGGGCAATAACAATACTCTAGGGCAATAACAATACTCTAGGGCAATAACAATACTCTAGGGCAATAACAATACTCTAGGGAAATAACAATACTCTCGGGCAATAACATTGCTCTCAGGCAATAACAATGCTCTTAGGCAATAACAATACTCTAGGGCAATAACAATGCTCTTAGGCAATAACAATACTCTAGGGCAATAACAATACTCTCAGGCAATAACAATACTCTCAGGCAATAACGATGCTCTCAGGCAATAACAATACTCTAGGGCAATAACAATGCTCCTGGGCAATAACAATGCTCTCAGGCAATAACAATACTCTAGGGCAATAACAATACTCTAGGGCAATAACAATACTCTAGGGCAATAACAATACTCTTGGGCAATAACAATGCTCTAGGGCAATAACAATGCTCTTGGGCAACAAAATGACAAGTGTATTACTTCCACAAAGGCCAAGTATATCATTATGTACCATGTCAGTAATAGTAAGCAGTCTTGGTTCTCCATTTACATGATCATCAGAATCATGGATCAGTTCTGTGTTCTTTCACATCCGAGGTATGCGGTCAAGCTATTTTGGTCCTTATCTATGTGTCTCTCTCCTGCCCTTTTCCATTCAAGCTTGTCACCATGTTTTCAGGTTTATTCCCTCTTATAATATGGTGAGACAAAAATGTGCATGTTTAGGTTTAACTCCTCTAATAATTTTAGTTTTTCAACTGTCTCAAAGAGGACTGACTCATTTGGTTTTCTGTCAGCTGCTGATATTCTTTGTGGCCTGTGGATATTTAAAAAAATATTTTGTTTTTTTATGGAAACTAAAACAATTAAATACAGAAACTGTGAATTAAAAGAGGGTTGTTCAAAGAAATGGAAAAGGGACAAATCAATTATTCTGGACTCATAAAAACTATACCGGTTGAAGGGAACAGCTATGCTTGTTTGTATTTCTATATTCATGTAATGTCCTGATGAAGGCGTTCTTGCTGCAACATCTACTTGTTGTTTGTGTTTGTTATACTGTGAAGCTGCTTGGTTCTACTTTTCCTTTGGTTTGATATCTTTTCATGAAGATAAGTGAGCAACAGGCAGACAGCAATACCAGTGATAGGAAATCAAAATAAAGACTAACAGCAACCTAAACAAAAACCAATGCAAGAGACCAAATGACGATCCAATGCAGCCATAGCCTTTATCATGAAGATGGCATCCAATTAATCAAATTACAATGACAAACCTAAATCTGAGACCCGCCTCCACTGGTTCTAGATAGGCTGACTCCTCCTCCTGATCTGTGGGGCCTCTTGTGTAACGTGATGGAAGAGCTGGGGGTTGTCCAGAAGGATTGATCCCATAAGCATTATATCCCTGTAGAGTTAGACAGTTCATTGTGAACCAAATTCTTACTAGCCCTGTTTGGGTTTGCAAAAGGCAACTAATTAAGGGTGTTTGCTTTAAAATCCTAATGTATCTGCAGGAGAGAAAAGAAACCAACAGTCTGCATATAAATATAAGCCAAATCTGTAAAATGGACGTGCATGCAAAACTCAAGTTCTGGAACAAGGCCAAAGTTCAGAAGTGGACAAACAACCAGCCAGAGTTTACAGATAGTGAACACTTTGGAGAAACAAAAAATGAAATGGTTATAAAAAAGCTTTTTAGTTTGTTACACACTTGTCAGTTTATTACAAATATAGACTGGGAAAAAATCAGTAAAAGATTTGATTTGTTGCACTTTGATCACAACCGTCATTCTAAACTGTCGTATTCTAGTCACAAATGACACTATTAACTGCAATAACTCAGTCGCAACTATCTGCTGAATTGACACATTTTGGTCAGTAACACCGCTGGCATTCTGAACTGTTGTACTTCTGACACAGCTGGCATTGTGAACTACTGCACTTCTGACACAGCTGGCATTCTGAACTGTTGCACTTCTGACACAGCTAGCATTCTGAACTGTTGCACTTCTGACACAGCTGGCATTGTGAACTACTGCACTTCTGACACAGCTGGCATTCTGAACTGTTGCACTTCTGACACAGCTGGCATTCTGAACTGTTGCACTTCTGACACAGCTGGCATTGTGAACTACTGCACTTCTGACACTGCTGGCATTCTGAACTGTTGCATTTCTGACACAGCTGACATTCTGAACTGTTGCACTTCTGACACAGCTGACATTCTGAACTGTTGCACTTCTGACATTCTGAACTATTGCACTTCTGACACAGCTGGCATTGTGAACTACTACACTTCTGACACTGCTGGCATTCTGAACTGTTGCATTTCTGACACAGCTGACATTCTGAACTGTTGCACTTCTGACACAGCTGACATTCTGAACTGTTGCACTTCTGACATTCTGAACTGTTGCACTTCTGACACAGCTGGCATTGTAAACTACTGCACTTCTGACACAGCTAGCATTCTGAACTGTTGCACTTCTAACACAGCTAGCATTCTCAACTGTTGCACATCTGACACAGCTAGTATTCTGAACTGTTGCACTTCTGACACATCTGGCATTCTGAACTGTTGCACTTCTGACACAGCTAGCATTCTGAACTGTTGCACTTCTGACACAGCTAGCATTCTGAACTGTTGTACTTCTGACACAGCTAGCATTCTGAACTATTGCACTTCTGACACAGCTGGCATTCTGAACTGTTGCACTTCTGACATTCTGAACTGTTGCACTTCTGACACAGCTGGCATTGTGAACTACCACACTTCTGACACAGCTAGCATTCTGAACTATTGCACTTCTGACACAGCTGGCATTTTGAACTATTGCACTTCTGACACAGCTGGCATTGTGAACTACCACACTTCTGACACAGCTGGCATTGTGAACTACTGCACTTCTGACACAGCTGGCATTGTAAACTACTACACTTCTGACACAGCTGGCATTCTGAACTGTTGCATTTCTGACACAGCTGACATTCTGAACTGTTGCACTTCTGACATTCTGAACTGTTGCACTTCTGACACAGCTGGCATTGTGAACTACTGCACTTCTGACACAGCTGGCATTCTGAACTGTTGCACTTCTGACACAGCTGGCATTCTGAACTGTTGCACTTGTGACACAGCTGGCATTTTAAACTGTTGCACTTCTGACACAGCTAGCATTTTAAACTGTTGCACTTCTGACACAGCTAGCATTCTGAACTGTTGCACTTCTGACATTCTGAACTGTTGCACTTCTGACACAGCTGGCATTCTGAACTGTTGCACTTGTGACACAGCTGGCATTTTAAACTGTTGCACTTCTGACACAGCTAGCATTTTAAACTGTTGCACTTCTGACACAGCTAGCATTCTGAACTGTTGCACTTCTGACATTCTGAACTGTTGCACTTCTGACACAGCTGGCATTCTGAACTGTTGCACTTGTGACACAGCTGGCATTTTAAACTGTTGCACTTCTGACACAGCTAGCATTTTAAACTGTTGCACTTCTGACACAGCTAGCATTTTAAACTGTTGCACTTCTGACACAGCTGGTATTCTGAATTATTGCATTTCTGTCACAGCTGGCTTTATGAACTATTGAGCTTCCTGTCAATTTCTGTTCCTCATTTAAAACCCATTTTTAACTACCAGAAATGTCATTCTGAACTGCTGCGTTATTACAACAGCATGAGACAAAGAAACTGAATGTCCAATATTTTAGTAGATGAACAGCATGAGACAAAGAAACTAAATGTCCAATATTTCAGTAGATCAACAGTACAAGACAAAGACACTCTGTGGCTAAAGTGCTCGCCTGTCACTCTTGTGGTTATAGGTTTCTATCTCCTGACAGATTTTTTAAAAATCATCATCATTACCAGATTGGCCCAGTCTCAAATGGGCACAGGAAATATCGTGGGAAGTAAAGAATGGCCAGCAAGATAATGACTACATCACACAAAGTGCTGATTCTATAAAAATCTTAAGGCTTGCCCCATATGTCCAATAAGCATTATGTGTGGGAATGAGAACTCTTTTTAAAAGTAAACAATTTAACAGTTGCCCAGGTTCAACCCTTAGAAGCTGATGGAATTACTCTGACGCATGCTTATCAAAATGTCCGAGAAGAAAAGGAGACAAGGAAAGCAGGGAGCCATCTAACCTCATTTATCACTGTCTGGAAATTGAATTTGCTTAGTTATTTCCCATCTGTAGCATCCTTTGGAAATTTTCTCCAGGTTATGCAGGTGTGTTGGGAAATGAGCAGGCAGATAGACTGGCCTGCTCTGCATCACTTGGTGGTGAATTGATGTATGACAAGCTAGACATGGTGAGGGCCCTTTGGGAACAAGTTAACAGTTTGGATGTGCAGATAGATTATTACGGTCTGAGGAGAATGGTGCTGCGAGGAGTTACAAGGGGATCTGGCCGACGCCCAACACCTAAGGGAAAGATAAGGAGACACAATCAGACGGTTACTGGTGCCATCAGAATTGGAACTCTTTGTATGCTGCTGAAAATGGGGAATGAGCACTTATGGGAGTGTCCCGAGTGATGTGATATTGATTCCTAATTCAACAGTCTTTCCCAAAACTCCACATTTGCCATGAGATTACCATTAAACAATTCAACTTCGTCCACTCCTGATGCAAATGGCTTACCTTTTCATCATATAACTCCTGATAAACTGGACAGTTGTCTGATCCTGGTGCAGGCAGATAAATTACATTCGGGGCCCGTTTCTTACTGAAATTGAAGATTTACAATAAAAATTGGGAATAATTCATGGTTAATGCAGTTGCCTATAAAGGAACACACTACGACAAATATTCAGAGCCATGAAAGATTAAAAAGTGGAGATCAGAGAGTGAGAAGCATCAACTAAATTCATAATCTGTTGAAATTACCACTAATTACTGGCATCATGAGGGCTAACAGACTTCAATGGTTGGAGCACATAAAGAGAATGATAAAGAAACAGAAACAGTGCACGCAACAGAGCTGACTGGAAGTACACAACAGGGCAACCGAGAACAGTGGGTAGATTATACTCAAGCAGACAATGAATACCCTGCAGTCACCAACTAAATGAGAAGGCCAACCGTGAAGGGTATGATTCCTGAAAGAATGGTTTACAAAGAACAACCGTGAAGGGCATGTTTCCTAAAAGAATGGTTTACAAAGAACAACCATGAAGGGCATGATTCTTGAAAGAATGGTTAACAAAGAACAACCATAAAGGGGATGATTCCTGAAAGAATGGTTTACAAAGAACAACCATAAAGGGGATGATTCCTGAAAGAATGGTTTACAAAGAACAACCATAAAGGGGATGATTCCTGGAAGAATGGTTTACAAAGAACAACCATAAAGGGCATGTTTCCTGAAAGAATGGTTTACAAAGAACAACCATAAAGGGGATGATTCCTGAAAGAATGGTTTACAAAGAACAACCATGAAGGGGATGATTCCTAAAAGAATGGTTTACAAAGAACAACCGTGAAGGGGATGATTCCTGAAAGAATGGTTTACAAAAAACAACCGTGAAGGGGATGATTCCTGAAAGAATGGTTTACAAAGAACAACCATAAAGGGGATGATTCCTGAAAGAATGGTTTACAAAGAACAACCATAAAGGGGATGATTCCTGAAAGAATGGTTTACAAAGAACAACCATGAAGGGTATGATTCCTGAAAGAATGGTTTACAAAGAACAACCGTGAAGGGCATGATTCCTGAAAGAATGGTTTACAAAGAACAACCATAAAGGGGATGATTCCTGAAAGAATGTGTTTACAAAGAACAACCATGAAGGGGATGATTCCTGAAAGAATGGTTTACAAAGAACAACCATAAAGGGGATGATTCCTGAAAGAATGGTTTACAAAGAACAACCATGAAGGGTATGATTCCTGAAAGAATGGTTTGCAAAGAACAACCATAAAGGGGATGATTCCTGAAAGAAAAGCTAAAAACTGGACTGTGTACAAAGGGTTCCAAGAACTCCTTGGATATGAAAGTTCATGAAATGGAAAAGTTAGTAGAGGACTGAGTGGCTTTTACGTGTGCTGAAATGACAGCAATGTTCTGCAAAAGACCTGCTAACTGATAATGATGAATACAGATTCAATATTATTATAATTCCAGACGAAACCACAGATGATCCCTTTTCTGAATAAGTTAAACTAATTTAAGTAACAAGTATTAGTTCAGCTTTAACAGTTAAACTACTTTCTAAACTACTAAGTGGAAACTAGTTCAGCTTTAACAGTTGAACTACTTTCTAAACTACTAAGTGGAAACTGTTTCTGTTTTATAATTGAAACTGTTTTCAACAACTTGAAATTAATTAAGTTATCAGTTTAACTATGCTTGGAACCTCAGTTTTCAATACCTCTTTCTCTTTGTTCGTCGTCGCCTGTAGACAATCCAGCCTATCACACAAATGACCAGAAGCAGCAGCAAACCACCAGCTAATCCACCGAGGAAGACTGGCAAGATGCTGCCTTTCCCTGCGTTGTTAGTATTACCTAGGGGGGAAGAAAAGGCTAATAAAGTGAATAATACATAGCTACAAAGATCAATAATCAAGTGCCAACTGGCATGGGCGATAATTCCTTTCCACAACCTGCAATTTCCAACAACATGTATCATTTCATTTGCTGACACCCCTCCATGTCATGACAGAAGGCTGTCAAGAATATTCTCATGTTGTCTTTCTATGTTTCTTTTTCCAAAAATCTTTCCAGTGCTCACAACAGGTACCAGTTTCCACCTTCTCAAAACAAGGCCCACAAATTATGATTGTCTCCTTCTAATGTTTGTGATAAGTTGTCCTTAGGCCTTCAACCCTTTTTTTTCCCAAAACATCTGGGTTACTCATTTTGGCTTTTCCAGAAATTTCAAAGAGGCAAGGATATGTGAATAAAAATTGTAGCTTGTGACCCTAAATGTTACAGGAAGACCCTTAGACCAAAAAAAGAAAATATACACTGACATTCATAATTTAAATATCAAGAGATATTGGCTCATGAACAGCATTGTATTTTTTTCATTATCTGAAAAATTTCAACCAATTTAATAATTTCGCCTCAAAAAGCTGCTTAACTGACACTTCTGACTGGGCCAAATTCCCACAAATGCCTTTTTTTTAACTTGCCCCCAGCGATGTGTTTACAAGACACATAGTTAATGCTATTGGCTGTTTTCGTGCCTGCACGAACATTAAGGAGGCCAGGATATAAATACATTCATTAACTAAAAACCGCATTTTTTGATGAAAATTTTTTTTTTAAAGTTGGCATCAAATTTTGCAATAAATCTCAGTTATACAGGTCATGTGGTCATGGCACGAGTCAGATGTTTTTTAAGGCCCGGGGGGATATATTCCACTCAATACTTTACTCTGTTCACCTTTAATGGTTATTCACTTGATATATCTTTTTATAGCTCAGTCGCTTCCATGCCGTCTGAGAAAGATACTGATACTGAACACCAAGTGGCAGGACAAGGTTCAGGACTGAACACCAAGTGGCAGGACAAGGTTCAGGACTGAACACCAAGTGGCAGGACAAGGTTCAGGACTGAACCCGAAGTGGCAGGACAAGGTTCAGGACTGAACACCAAGTGGCAGGACAGGGTTCAGGACTGAACACCAAGTGGCAGGACAAGGTTCAGGACTGAACACCAAGTGGCAGGACAAGGTTCAGGACTGAACACCAAGTGGCAGGACAGGGTTCAGGACTGAACACCAAGTGGCAGGACAGGGTTCAGGACTGAACACCAAGTGGCAGGACAAGGTTCAGGACTGAACACCAAGTGACAGGACAGGGTTCCGGACTGAACACCAAGTGGCAGGACAAGGTTCAGGACTGAACACCAAGTGGCAGGACAGGGTTCAGGACTGAACACAAAGTGGCAGGACAAGGTTCAGGACTGAACACCAAGTGGCAGGACAGGGTTCCGGACTGAACACCAAGTGGCAGGACAGGGTTCAGGACTGAACACCAAGTCGCAGGACAGGGTTCAGGACTGAACACCAAGTGGCAGGACAAGGTTCAGGACTGAACACCAAGTGGCAGGACAGGGTTCCGGACTGAACACCAAGTGGCAGGACAAGGTTCAGGACTGAACCCCAAGTGGCAGGACAAGGTTCAGGACTGAACACCAAGTGGCAGGACAGGGTTCAGGACTGAACACCAAGTGGCAGGACAGGGTTCCGGACTGAACACCAAGTGGCAGGACAAGGTTCAGGACTGAACCCCAAGTGGCAGGACAAGGTTCAGGACTGAACCCGAAGTGGCAGGACAAGGTTCAGGACTGAACCCGAAGTGGCAGGACAAGGTTCAGGACTGAACACCAAGTGGCAGGACAGGGTTTAGGACTGAACACCAAGTGGCAGGACAAGGTTCAGGACTGAACACCAAGTGGCAGGACAAGGTTCAGGACTGAACACTAAAAGGCAGGACAGGGTTCAGGACTGAACACCAAGTGGCAGGACAAGGTTCAGGACTGAACACCAAATGGCAGGACAGGGTTCAGGACTGAACACCAACTGGCAGGACAAGGTTCAGGACTGAACACCAAGTGGCAGGACAGGGTTCAGGACTGAACACCAAGTGGCAGGACAAGGTTCAGGACTGAACACCAAGTGGCAGGACAGGGTTCAGGACTGAACACCAAGTGGCAGGACAGGGTTCAGGACTGAACACCAAGTGGCAGGACAGGGTTCAGGACTGAACACAAAGTGGCAGGACAAGGTTCAGGACTGAACACCAAGTGGCAGGACAAGGTTCAGGACTGAACACCAAGTGGCAGGACAGGGTTCAGGACTGAACACCAACTGGCAGGACAAGGTTCAGGACTTAACACCAAGTGGCAGGACAGGGTTCAGGACTGAACACCAAGTGGCAGGACAAGGTTCAGGACTGAACACCAAGTGGCAGGACAGGGTTCAGGACTGAACACAAAGTGGCAGGACAAGGTTCAGGACTGAACACCAAGTGGCAGGACAAGGTTCAGGACTGAACACCAAGTGGCAGGACAGGCTCCAGGATACTGTCATACTGTACAGAGCTGGCATTCCCAGCATCAATACCATCCTGATGGGCAAGTCAGCTCGTCCGTTTGACAACCATCGTCTCCCAAAAATAATCTTTTATGGTAAGATACATATGAGGCAGACGCTCTTATGGGGGTCAGAAAGAGAAGCACGCTTTACGGACATGCTAAAAGCCTTCAACATAAACACTGAGACTTGGGAGGTTGCTGCACAAGACTGGTCTAAATGGCTAATGTCAGTCCAAAGAGGTGTGATAAAGAAAATAAAAGGCAGCTGAACAGCTAGACCAGGCTAGAAAGACCCATATAACAGGCCATTTACCTACAGACACTGTTTCCTGTCCATACTGTCCCAGATTCTTCTGGGCCTATATGGGGTTTATAAGTCTTTTGGACAAACAATCAACTAGAGCTTCATGACGGATGAAAAAAGAGTGGTCTTCATCACTTATGATGGATGAACGACACTATATAGTTTGAGAAAAAACATGCACAATAATAAATTTGTAATAAACTTAATAATGACCTGAGTAAAATTGTTGCTTTTTGTTTACATATTTTTTCTGGGATTCTTGTGGGGTCATGACACATTTTTCCCAGTGTTCCCAAGGCGAGGGGGTTAAAACACCATAATGACCTGAGTAAAATTGTTGCTTTTAGTTTATATATTTTTTCTGGGATTCCAGTGGGGTCATGACACATTTTTCCCTGTGTTCCCAAGGCGAGGAGGTTTAAACACCATAATGGTTTGAAGAGAACAAAATTTGAGGGGTTCACAAGGAAAAAAACCAATGCATGGGTTAAGCGGCACATTAGTAAGCACAGGATTTGACACCCAGGGCATGAAAGTTCACTAGGTGAGGAATCTGGCAGGGAAGTGCCATACAAAGAATAAAACACTTAAAATAGCTACAATGATTACTCTGTGGAAGCTATAAAAAAATAAGTACACATGGCCACAATAATTGCTCCAATGGATCTATTAAACACCAGCACATGACCAAAGGACAGAGTACAAAACCAAACCCATGACCTTCAGAGCCGGAAGAAAATGGTCTATCCATTTTGTAGATATAATCATTCTTCTTTTTTTTCTTCTGCAAAAACTGACTGTCAACTCTCATGGAAAGTTGTCTGTTTCTTTGGACTTTCAGGAGATTGGTGTCGTGTGCATGTCCATCTTCCAGATCGGGCTTACTGTGTGTGGACTGTTGGTTCTTTGCTTCCCAGGCAGATGTGCTACAGCTTTGAAATGCTGATCCTATCTACACTGGCCAGCCCTCAGATAGGTAAACCACTGCTAGGATGACCACAAAGAGGTGTAAATAGGTCTTGACCAGATGAGTCCCAGTCCTGGTGCACAACCCGCAGGTGGTGACGCACCTCTGCATCCCACTCCCTATAATAACATTAGTTAATACAAGTCTTTGAGAGATTACCTAATGACAGTGTAAATGACAAATTGCTACTTACTATTTTGCAAGCTTCTGCATGTGCACTGCAAGTACTGGATCTGATTATTGAAGAAGGTGGTTACATTTTTGTGAACATTACGATTGTCACAGATTTGTGGTCTACTCTGTGCCAGCCTGAGCATTCATGGGGAGAAAGCAATAATTTCACTTGTAAGAACTGATATGACAGCCTATGATGCATACAATTCACATACATTTTATTTGGTCACAAAGTCTCAATAATCATTAAAGAATGCACTGTGACAAAGAGTTTGTTTATTGTAAAAACTGTGATTACACAGTTTAGTTTCCTTTACCCTTTGGCCCTAAGATGCAGCTAATCAGGCATCCCCGTATGTTACAAATCCCAGAGATGTGACTATGAAAGCATTGCTTCATTATCCTGTCCTCAACAAGCCTAGTTAATTGCATTGGTTCTGTTTGCACCTGTGCAGTGTATATAAGAGCCAGAGATGATGTTTACTAAAAATAGGATTTGGGAGGTTTCATTGTAAAAAAAAAATGGCTTTTCTAAAGTCATAAAAACATCAGAAATCTATATTCTCTAGTTACTTGGTCATAGTATGTATGTCACTGAGTAAAATGTGTACAGGTCCAAGGGAATGTAGTCATTTAATTCTCTGCTTCATTCATGTGTACTGATTACTCTCCCTTCCATAAATTTATTAAACAATGAAACAAACAAAAAGTGTTTGTGTTATTAGTCCTGTGTCAAATGGTTGTTTTTAAAAGGATTTTGTTTTCAAGCATTCCTGGGTTCTATGCTTTTTTTTTTTCAATGGGTTTCAGGGGGGAAAAGTTTGAATTTTAAGTACAAATGTCCTCTGTTTGTGTTCCCAGCTACCAAAGTTCCATACAGGTAGGACCAGAGCAGTCTTAAAAATTCTTCTAAATCTGAGACAAAGCAGATTTTTAAACAGCTAGCTCAGATCAAATATTTAAATTGTATCTAAAACTTAGTTTCTTATTTGTAATCTAACCTTTCTCTAGAGTCCTAGTTGAAGACCAAATACAAAATCAATTTGGAAAAAAAGGGCTTCAGTGTTCACTCACCTACAGATGTCATTTACATAAGTAGTTCTTTCCTCAGTTCCATAATTGTCACGCAAACATTTTTTGACATTTTTCCAGCCAGCTCCTTTAGCATCATCCAACTGAAGCATCAGATGTTGTTCCAGATCCTCACGAATGTCATCCCTATCCTCAGCAGTGCACTGTCCATTCCGCACATCTGCATTAGAACTGTTCTCATATATAAGGCTTTAAAACAGAAGGGAAAAAAGGAAGTTATTAAAAGACAGTAAAAAAATAATTATAATTTATCACATATATCATCTTTTTTTCTGAGATCTGATTTATATATTATTTACTTGTGTGTGTGTTCATAAGTGTGGATGGTGGCAAGTGGAGGGAAAGGTGTATATATACTTGCACTTGCACATTAAAAAATTTTTTTAATGAGTACCTGGAAATGTCATGGGAAGGAAGTAATAAAGGTGGCTGATGTCATCTTCACATGCCTCAAGTCATAGAAAGGTCCTTCACTTTTTATAAATAAAACATTAAATATTTATAATCTTTATTTGCAAAATTATCTGCAATGGCTGTTTCTATATATTAAGGACCTCTCAGAGCTAAACTAATTCATACAGACTCTAGGCACGGTCACTGTTTTGAGTTGCAGCAGATTGTTTGCTTCTGCCAGACTGTGGCCGTTCCATTTTTGCTCCATTTGTAAACTAAACAGATACAGTTTTGTCACCCAGCTACTGACTTGAGTGTGTGGCGTGACACTGTAAGCTGCAGATTTAATTTGGAATGTATTTCGACTGTGACCAGCGTGGTATTGTGCATTGTAGATTCATAAAATGGTGTGTGGCCTGTCGTCGCAATATTGGTGGTGCCCTTATGTGATTAAAATTGATCGCGTGTGCAACTGCTGTTCAGTTACTAATTTCTGCTACCACCGATGATGAACTGCATTTCTAATGTCAGATTGTTTGTATTAGAACTTCTGATGGCTACCATATGCTATTAATGCTTGTGTATGCAAGCAAGTGCATATGCTGAGACAGCAGTCTGTCACTCTTTCCACGAGGGACTGTGATAAACATTCTGTGTGTTTCATTGGCACAGGAGCAGAGCAACTGTGGGATGACCCGTTTGCTATGAAGCTGAAACTAAGATTACCAAGATCAGAGTTATACTAACCTGCAGGTCTTGTTGAGACTCAGGTTGTCACCTTTAAGCAACAGCAGAATGTTCTCATCTTTCAGCAGTCCTTCTATACAATTATTAACCCGCTGGCACTTTGCCACCAGAGCTTCACGGTGCTCTTCAATGTATTCAGAATATTTTCCTAGAGAGATATTTATGAAAGTCAATGGTAGAGAAACAAACAAACAGGGTTTTTAAAAAGTGATTAATGGTCAAAGGATGAACTTTGTTGCAGCAGGTCATCCAGCCCATAGGCCTGGTCTCTCTGCCAAGGGCCGGTCATCCAGGAGAGTAGCACACAAAGCACAAGCTCTGAAACACCAGGAACTATCTCCAGGGATCTCCAAAACACCAGAACTAATGAACTGAGCAAAACTAAACAAGCAACATTTCGAATGTGAGGCAAATATTTTATCACACAGACCATCCACATTTATTTTCAAAACAAATCAAACAGAATTAATGCCTGACATAGTTTTCAGGTGACAAACAAGGCGAAAAACTACAATGCCAGAAAAATATATTAAGAAAGGTTGTCAGTTTTATCAATGGTACACAAAATAGTTGCCTTCTGTGTGAACTGGCTGTAAACTCCAGAAGAAAGTCTAAGTTGTTCATTTTATATGTCTGGAATCTGTTCTTGTCCCAAGATTTGAATGCACATTCATTTTACAGATTTTGATCTTGTTCCAAGATTTGAGTGTTGTATGCCCTTCTTCTTCTTCTTTTGTCAAAATCTGCTTGTGCCGCTAGGCGTCGCAGTCTATCGGATGATCGAGCCAGGGCGCGCTCAGTCGCTTCATATGCCGTGATGTTATGGAGTCTCAAGTTGTCCGTGACTCCTTCAATCCATCTTCTTCTTGGTCTTCCCCTGCCTCTTGGTGTTTCGATTTTTATGTTGTATGCTCTTGATGCTGGCATCGTTGGTTCCATTCTCATTAGGTGACCAAACCATTTCATTCTTTGCTTCTCAATAAATTTAACGATGGGTATGGTTCCAATAGTTCTTGTAATCACATCGTTTCTCACTCGATCTCTTCTGCTTTTATTCGCAGCCATTCTCAAACATCTCATTTCACAGGTGGTTAGTCTTCTCTCGTGTTCTTTTGTTAATGTCCAAGTCTGACATTGATAACCTAATGTCGGTATAAAGATTGTATTTATAATTTTTTAATTTGTCTTTTTATCTCAGCTGGGACAGCAGGGTGTTTTAAAATTGGGGCAAGCTGGTATGGGACATTGTTGGCTTGTTGGATTCTTGCTTCGATCTCTCTGTCTATTTTACCATTGAATGTAAAGACACTTCCCAAGTATTTAAATTCTTGCACTCGTTTTAGGCTGTGATCTAGAATCTTTATGTCGATGGTCTGTTGCTCTCTACTTATGCTCATGACTTCTGTCTTTTCAGTATTGATCTTCATATGATGCTTGAGGCAACTGTCGTGTAGTAGGTTTATGTGGTCTTGCAGCTGTTTACTATCACTGTGAAATAGGCATTGATCGTCGGCAAAGAGCAGCTCATTGAAGTCCTCCTGTTTATCGACATCTGTTGGTGTTATGCCCATTCATTTAAAATCAGGTTTATTTTTGTGCAGACTGATGGTTCCTTGCTACTCAGGCAGAAACACGTTTAACTTCAAAGGAAAATTATCTTACCTTGGTCAGTCCTCATTAGGTAACTTGTTTCTAGAATGACCACACAATAATGTAAATAGGTCTTGATCAGCATGAGCCCAGGTCCTGGTGTGCCTCCCACCCCCACCCCTCCATGTGACTCAGCATCTTTGTATCCTACAAGTTCGTCATAACACTGTCTTTAGAAATTTTTCAAGTAGTCAAAAATAAGATGGGATATGTGACATGTGCTCCTGGTCAACCAACACAGCCTCAAAGTGTTATCAGAAAACGTCATGGGAAGTAAAGGCTACTCTAAGTGTCCAAAGTATTTGCAGCATTTATCTCAGAAAGCACATCTCTTGAGGCTCTTTCGATTATCCTTAGAATTTTAAACTGGATATCAAACAATTTTCTGGAAAGGAAAGATGGCAGGGAAGAAAACTAGCCACCAGAGTGCATCTGCCTGAGAGGCAAAGAACCAGCAATCTGTATACAAATAAGCAAGATCTGAAAAATGGATGCACATGCAAAACCCTAGGTCCTGCAACAAAGCCAAAGTCCAGGAATGGACAAACATCCAGCTCTTTCTACTGGGGTTTACAGCCGGTGAAGGCAAACAACAACACAACATGCTTGTCAGGTAGCAGTGGGTATATTCTTTTTCTCTCTCCAAAAACTGGACCCCTGGAACCCACAAGGGAAGTACTCAGTAATCAATAAATATTTTGTGAGTTGCCTGGTAGAGGTAATAATGATGATAATGCTAAAAAAAAAAACATCTGTGTTTACCTGATAGGTCTGTGTCACAGTCACCAGAATGACTATGAATGCTCGGATCACCTGTTGCTCTGGAGTTCATAGGCATGTTTATACTGTAGTGCCCAGACCAAATCTAACAGAAAATGTACACAACAATGTTTTACTATCCTTCACAAACAGATTTTATGAGTATTGATACAAATACTAAAAAATTTAAATTACAGAGACAATGCACTATTATTTACTAGTGAATTCTCTTAAATTATTTTTGCCTGGAGGCTAGTGGATGCGTTCTGCAAAAAAAATTTCTTAAAATTTTAAAGTGTCTGTGATATGCTAAAAATTATAAATTATTTTATTTTTGTGGAGTGCACAGCAATACCTTCCTTCTATTTATATTTATATATAGTAATACTGGCTAAATGAGCCGGACTTTTAAAAAAAAATTAAATTGGCTCCTAGGTTGACCCAGCCTTGAGTGGGTACCGGGTGCAGTCCTGGGAAGTAAAGGTGGCCGGCGTGATGCTGACCACATTACCCATCTTGTGCTGATTGGTCTAAAAAAATATAGGTCTAGCCTTATATGCCTTAAGGCGTAGAAAAGGGTCCTTTACTTTACTACTGTCTAATTAATAGACATTCCTTATATTAATATTTTTAATCATGTGAGAAGAAACAAGAATGTGAAAAGTTATAATTGTTATGACTAATTCCCCATATTGGCAATTCTGCAGTGATCTGTTTTCAGAAGGCAAAGGTAAATGTCACTGGTTCTATTTGCATCTGCACAGCATTTTAGGAAACTTGGATATAAATATATTTAACTAAAAACAGCATTTAGGAGTTTGTTTTTTAACCCTAACCAAATGGCCTTTTAAAGCCATTGTGACCATAAAATGTCCATGTTGTCAAAAGCCTGTGTGGCTATGGGATGACTGTAGGTGATGATAGTAGGTTGATGATACTGAATGACGGTCTAGCACTTAGATGACCGCTTAGAGACTATGCGATTAGCAGCCCACAGGAGTTTCCGACTAGGACATCATGATGAATGAGTGAAGACTCCAGGATTTGTGAGGAGTTGACTGACCTCACAGTTAATGGCAGACTGGACAAAATGGACAGAGCGCAGGCGTTTTCAGAGTTGGCTCACAGACCTGGACTGTAACATGTTGTTTATGATGGCGAAAGTTTTCAGAGTTGTTTGCGATCAGACACGTAGCAACAATTTAGGAAATGTTCAGTGCTAGTATGACGGTGTTATAATCAAAGTGTATTTGAAATAGGTAGTTTAACTTCATGTTCTGTAGAGATGGTTCAGTGTGATTAGTGTTATTTGATTGAAGACTGTTCACCTGATTAGTAATCTGTATATTAGCTAGGTGCTTAGAAAAAGGGATTTTGTCATTGTGTCTGCATTTGTGGCATAGGTGTTGCAAATGTGGTCTGTAATTCTGAAGAACCCGGTTCAATCCCAGCTGCAGGTAATTTGACAGCAGATCGCCTTGTGTTGTTTTTGACAGTGGTCTCAAGAGCCAACCACTGAGAAAGCAATGGCAAACTACTCAATATAGAATTTCATGGGGGGGGGGGGGGAGAACAGCGACTAGTGTTGGCTCTGCAATGTCTTGTAAAGGAAAGGATACACAACTAACTTTTAAACTCTCTTTGGTGTGTACTTTTAAGTAACAATGTTTGAGTCTCAATGTGTTAGAAATAACAAACATGAAGGAGTTAAAATAGGGCTGTCAACTGTAAGAGAAGAAGGGGAGATAAGACGACTGTATACAAGTTACTGCATAATAAACATAAACACACAGTAAGTTTCCCAGTACTGTAATAGTTACATCAAGAACTCTTGTGAGGTGAACGTCTTAGAAGTTCATGGTACACAGACAAAATATAAGATGGAAAGACTGTAAACTACAGAGTTACAGTGTTCATATCTTAACTGTAAGAGAGAGAGAGAGAGAGAGAGAGAGAGAGAGAGAGAGAGAGAGAGAGAGAGAGAGAGAGAGAGAGAGAGAGACAGAGAGAGAGAGAGGGGGGGGGATGGATGGAAAGATAGGATAAAATTATACATCTCAATTAAAGAAAATATCACATTCTTTTGCAAGAAAAAACAACCACAATCAATAAAGATATAGAATATCGACTGAGAGCTTGACATAATGTCAATAGAAAGACAACTTGTATGAAACATGAGTGGAACACCTCTATCCATATCAGTTTAATAAATTTGCAAGGACACATAATATTTGCATTAACACACAGAAATTACACCATCATCATAAGTATTACTCCATTAACAGAAATTAAATTATTTAAACTGACATGCCAGAAGTACTCTTCCAGTCAATGTGCAAGATGTAGGCCAAACTAGAAAACTATATGTCAGTAAAAGTGAATCTGGTGCACTCTTGTGACACTCAGTGTTACAAGTGGCTTCCTTACAGTCACAGGAAAACTTCAGGCAGCCATCACAGAAGATGTACCATGCATGTTAAGTAGAGACTTCCTTTTGTAAAAGATATTCACACAGAGTAACTAACGAAGAACTTAAGAGCAATGGTAGGCACAATAGTGGTAAATGATTTCACGGAACACTTAAGAATAAAACGATTTGGTCAGAATGGAACCAAATCAGCTAGCAGCTTGAGCGTACTACATGAGAACAACAGGCTACAGGTCAAGAAAGAATGGGTAGAGGGAGTAAAAGAGACACTACAGAAGTGCACTATGACATTAACACAAGCTACATGACTAGCTAAAGGCAAGATATTATATCTTAACCATCTCTGTAATGCTTTAGAACATAAGTAGTGGGACAAAAGACAGAAAAAGTCCCATAGATGATACTGCTTTAGAGATATGAAGTGTTTGTTTTTGCCTTTACACATTCTAGGCCCCAACAAATGAGATTAGGATGACCAGTTCCCTTCTGTACTGCCTTTTCTTTTCATACACCTGTAAAAAAATTCTTATTTTTCTTCAGATTTATCAGCTGTCAACTGTGGTGGAAAGTTCTGGGTGTTGATCCACCTCCGGACTTTAGTTTTGTTTCAGAACCTGAGGGTTGCACATACATCTGTTTCACACATCCGACTTGTTTTTATACAGACTGTTGGCTCCTTGCCTCTCAGGCAGATGCACTCTGACTTCAAAGGATGCCCCCCAAATGGTCGACTCTTATGACATGCTTGTTGGGAGACAGTGGGTCTATTCTTGTTGTCTCCCACAATAGGGCCCCGGAACTTACACAGTGATGAGGTTATACTTTGAGATACAGTTTTCTTCTTTTCAGGTACTGGACACTCTGTTTTTCAACCTCTATTCAGCTGTCTTGGTTTAAAAGTAAAAATCCCAATATATAAATTTTGACTAAAATCCCTAATACTTACATTTATCTTAGAGTCTTATACTTATACTTGTGATCACTTAGTATTTTATTATAACAGATCATAGATGTTAAGTATAGGAGTTTATAACAGTATAACTATAACTTATGTGCTCTGTACTTCTCAAACAACTGATGTTTTTACTGTGTGTGGGCATTTTTAGAAGTGATGTTGATTTAGGATTGTTGATATTATCATTATCCTTCATGTTATGCCATTTTGATTTGCAGTATTTATTTTATACTGCTCTATAAATACATTTTTGTTGTTCTTGTTAAATGTGTCAAATATTTACTTAGTATTTAGTATTTTTAATAACATACAGATAACCATAATTGTTTTAGTCCCACATTTGCATTATTAATAACACCAACATCACCTGAGGTCGATAACTATTTGTATTAACTTATGACTATATCTCTCTACTTCCGCGCTCATGGTAATTTCATTATTGCCAAGAACTTTTACTGATCTCTGAAGACTTTGTTCACTTGGAAAGATGGGATTTGGAATTAAATAGTACAACGGCGAAAATAAAATCCTTAATAAATAATATCTGTATATATTAAAATATATCTGAATAAAAATAACATGTGCAAACATATATGACTAATTTTGGCTATTGTGGTGTTATTTTAATGTTTTTTATTGTTTAAAAAAACGTTCTTTGATTTGATGACAAAGATGTATATGTAATTAATATAAAAATCAATAAAGTATCATGATACAACGCTGGTCTGGAAAAAAAAAAAATAAACAAAGACGCAACTAAAGTAAGTCAGTAACTAGTAAGTCAAGGATTAGTCATCCGTTCATAAAGAATCATTCTTAGTTAGAATGTCGACTGAAGAATTATAAATTTTGAAATACTACGATCCCTTTTAAAGTTATTTATTAATGTTTTAACAACGACATTTCAACAACAACAAACAGATCTTTTATCGGGCACAAACGACAGTTCAACCAGATTAACAAATAACACATATTTTGAAAAAAAATAACAATATTTTAACTTACAGTTCCTGATGACTAACCGAAAGGTTGTCGTCGTGCGTACTATGCTATGGCTGGTTCCGCAAGGGGTGACGACGTGACCGAGATACACCTGGCTGCTGGAGCAGACGAGATAGGTAAACTGGGTCAGGATTGTGTCCCTCTTTGGCGACCGGGTCGCCCAATGGCTGGCCGGTAGACGACTTCGTCGCGGTCGTAACAGTATTTCGGTGGCAAGCAATGCTAAGTCATTTTGCATGGCGCACATCATCTAGTCACAATTATAACCTAAAGTTCACCCTTAAAGGATGCTGGTTGAACGTGACTTTTTATTTCGCAAAGCAAGCCAAGATTGGGTCCTTCGTAGAGTTGAGTTGATTCAAGAACCGACATCACAGCACTCAAGACGTTCCTATAAGCACTCGGTCCCATCTTCAACAGGCAGTGCAGAATTCCAATACCAATGGTGCCAAAAACATTCCGATTATACGTCCGTCTTGTCTTTCCTATCATCATCATCATCAGTTCTCATTATGCCTACTGGCACATGGGGCGTCAGAGAGGACTTTCCTGTCCTGTGCAATCTTCAGTGCAGTTTTCCATGTCAAAGATGCCGCACTCAGGTCACTTTCATCGTTCGTCTCCATGTTGTTTTTGGGCGCCCCTGTTTTCTCTTTCCCTCTGGTGTCCATGTGAGAGCTGTTTTGGCAGGTAT